CACCTCTCGCCTCCTCTCTCCGCAGTGGGCGCCGCGGCTGAGCGGCTTCTGGCTGCGCCTCTTCGCGCACGTGGCCAACACGGTGAGCGGCGGCGGCCGTTTAACGGTCCCCGGCGGAGGGGCGCGGCGGTTGGGCCCCCTGGGTCCTCCGCGCTGGGTCGGGAGAGGGAAACCTGCGGGGTGCCGGCGTTGTCACCGTGGGGGAGAGCAAATGCGGGATAAAGCAACCGGGAACGGCGCTCGGACATGGAGGAGTCCTGATCCCCGAGTGCTTCTGCTTCTCTTTTATTTTGTGTAGGGAGGCTTAAGGCAGCGGAGCTCACGCTTGCCTGGCTGTTCCGATGTTCCCAAGCCTTTTCCCAGGACTGTGCTGATTCTGCAATGCGTGGTGATATAAATATCTCCATAGATCTAAGCTTGCGGGCCTCGCCTCGGGCTTGCACGGCGCCACGCTCCCTTGGTGTGATTTGGAAATGCCACCTGGAGCTGCTAGAACAGGATGGAGCGCGGCTGGTCTGGGCCTGCGGGTATTGCTCCATCGGGTGCCTGCGTAGTCAAAGGGGGCTCCTGCTCCCGTGGAGTCCCGTGTGCCAGAGCCCTGGCGCAGGCTGCCCAGGGAGGCTGTGGAGTCTCCTCCTCTGGAGATCTCCCAAACCCGCCTGGATGCCGCCCAGTGCCCCGTGCTCTGGATGTCCCTGCTTCAGTGGGAAGGTTGGACTAGATGATCTCTAGAGGTCCCTTCCAACCGTGAATGTTCTGTGGTTCTGTGAGTCCCTGCTGCTCTCCGAGTGGACCCGGTTTGGAGCAGGAGCTGGTTCAGTGACTCCTGCAGGGTAGTCGGGGCTGAATGGTGACAGAAGAGATGCTAATAGTGGGATAAGCTGAATGAGAGTAAGCTTCTACACCCTACCTGCTGTGAATGTGGGAGGAGAGGGAAAGGCATTTGAGGCCAAGTTTGTAGCCTGAGATAAGTATATTTCAATTATATTTTGATTACGTGTCACAGCATGCTCTTTGGGATACTTACAGGCCAAGGCTACGGCTGTTGTGAGTCCATCCGACATTCCTTGTCCAGTGAGGAAGGGGCTGAGGTCAAAATAGATACAAACAAGTGTTTCTGCCCTTTTCTTTCCTAGGCTTTTGGACAGATCATCTTACTACCTTTCTTGCTAAGGTAAGAGTGGGGATTTTTTTCCCCTTTAAGTTGCTGTATTGAGGTGCTTGCAGTGCATAACCTTTTGTAAGAAGGAAACTGCATAACTTGAATGAGATTATCTCATAGTGGTTATTTACTAGATTATTGTTTAACTGCTGATTTGAGTGGCCCTCAGAAGAAATTAACATTTCACAGCCATCCTGGTGCTGTGAAACTTCCCTGAACTGCTTCTTACTGTATTCTTGTAAAAAAGCAGCCTTTCTTTCCAACCTAAGTATGCAAATCCACTCTGTTCATTACCAGCTTCAGTGGGGAAATAAGGTCAGACACAAAGTTTGGAGTTTTTAATATGTTTTTTTGAGGTATTACACTTTTAGGTTAGTCTTTTCTTCTCTGTCACTCCTAGGAGTTTCTATTTAGTCAGAATATATGTTTTTCAAGTGTACTTCACTCTGAAAACCACTGAGAGTGTCAAGAACTGCAGCATCACACTTAGTTTGTATGTGTTGCCTGCAAGGTGGATTATCTCTGCAGTTTCCAAGACACAGAAATATGTTAAGCACTCTTGTTACACTTGAATTTTTGCTTCTGGGCATGCTACAGGGTTTTCTTTGACTGAATCAAACTACTGTCACTGTTATTATACAGTGAGTTGTTCCTTGACATTTGTGGCAGGGTCTTGATTCCCTTGCTTTGTTACCTATTCCAAGACTAAACTCTCGCTATGACCCCTGTTATATTTCATTATAGATGTGTTACATTGACACAGGTCATGGAATAGTCTGAAGAGGTGCTTATTTTAACAGAATTAGTGCTTGCATAAATGGGTTTTACCACTTTCTCCTTGTCTTTTGCTCCCCACTCCTTTTCGTTTGTGGGTGCAATGTGTAGAATTAAAGTGAGTGGGGAAACTTTCATTGGCTCTTTTCCAGCTTCAGCTGATGCAGGCTGGCTGGCCTTATGTCAAGAGGTAGGCGGTTTTGTTAAGCAACCAAAGTAGGCTTTGTGCTACCAAGAGGAAAGCGTGAGAGATCATCTTTCAAGTTTAAGATGTTGCTCCATACTGTGAGAAGCAGGCTGCTGAAGGAAAATGTCCTAGAATTAAGTTACCTTAAAGCAATCTTAAAAAAAAATCAAAGCCACTGTAGAACTTGCAAGCTCCAGCGGTCCTTGTCTGTCTTTCAGACTGAACAAATTCTCCCTCTTGCGTTCCCTTGATATTCATGAAGATCCCACGTTTATCCCAGAGGTTGCTGCAGAGCTTACAGAGGACAAGGGTGAGGCTGAAAACACTTCGGACGTTATCAAGCAGCTGCTAGATGCAAGGTCAGTCAGGGATGTGTGGGAGTGGAGTGGTAGATCACATGTGTTGATGCTATTATAGTGGTGGGAAGCTCATTGTCAGTAATCTGTATTAAAACCCCTTTTCCTACACCATGCTACTTTTCAAAAGTTATCACTGTTTCAAGAGAAATCAACAGTTTTACCACTGTTCCTTCCTTCCTGTAACTCATAAGTTGTTAGCAATATAAAATTTCTACAAATTTCCTGAAGTCTCTGTAGTGGGGAGAGACCAAATTCTGCAAGTCCCTGCCTCGCTGTGCCTCTGGTTGCACATGCAGAGCAGATGTGCTTAGTGGTTGGCTAGTCAGCACGTCCATCCCTTCAAGTGAGTTTGCAGTTTCTTGCCTTCAAGGAGTCATAAAGAGAACATAAAGGAAGGAGGTTGCTGGGAGGAGAGAAGGAATGCAGGGCACAGAGAAAACCACCCATGAGAGTTTAGGCTTTGTTAGCCAGGTTATTTTGAGAACTGCCTGTTCAGCTTCTTGATATACTTGAATAAATCCCCCTAGATTAGGGGTGAAAAGTTACTTGGGTTTGTGTGTCTCACTGAAAACTGATGCTGCGATGGGCTGAGGGCAGCTGGACTGCTCTGGGTGCTCTCCCCATCTGCTTTTGTCCTCAGTCGTGGACCTGTCCAGTGGTTACTGAGGAAGTGACCTAAGTCTGTGAGCTACACCCCATCCCTGATAGTCATTTCTCACTTGCAGCAAGACCAGATTTTCTCTCTGAGTCTTTAGGACAGAGCAAGGAAATACTTTCATCAGCCTCACTTTGCAGGAAGGAGTGTATTTCTTGCAGGCACTGGTCAGGCTCTGTGTCCCCTGCTCTACCATCAATATTGATATATTGCCTATTATTATAGGCAAGTTGCTTGAACCTTGCCTCTTCCCTGCGTAGTATCTTATGGTACCTTATGCTTTCCTGCTCAAGGATATAGCTGGATTGAGTGATAATATGGAGACGTCACAGGAGTAGTAGTTCTAGCTGGCTCTTCCCATGTTTTCCTCTGCTTTCCTATTGTGATGAGAAATGCCCCATTTCATAGGTGCTAGAGCGACAGGCTTGATCTTTAAGCAGCTTGCAGATGTAAATTCCTATGTGTGCTGCATAGCGCCTCTTCCCTCTCGATATGGACTGCTATATATGGAGTGCTCTATATGCACTGCTGGGGCAGAGATCCTGAAAATCAGTTTGTCAATATATTCTAGCTGTTGTGTATTGTTCCAGTGATGAGCAGCAAATGTAAACCTGCAATAAATTTCAACCAACTGCTTTCTTGCTCTGTGAAGCAACAGTAGGTATATGAAGCAACGCGAACCCATTGGCAATATTGACCCCTTATTTCTGCAGCACCCTTGGTATACGTGGAGTTTTGGCATGTCTGCATGGAGTCTGAGCTGAAATGTCTGGGCTGGCAGCCCAAAGAATGACCATGAAGTGGAGTGGAAGTGAGCAGTGCTCAACCTGTGTTGGACTGGGCCTCTGGAATCTGCAGTCCTCGGGGGCCTGTGCGCTCTGGTGACTTAGGCACTACAGTTGCCCCTCTGATCTTCTCTTTGCAGGCCTGATTCTGCCAGCGATGGGTTTAGCTTCAAAGGAATCAAAGACTACCTGGACTGCTACCGGTAGGTCAAATTATGGTCTGGGAACAGTTTATCTTGGTTGTTCCCCTGCTTGTTGTTCCACAAGCTCTCTCATATTCCTTTGTTAGCATTGTCCTTGAGGTACCACTGCTTAACACCACCTTCTGCAGTCCTTTCCCTCTGAGAGAATAACAAAGGAAAGCCAGCCTGGGGAGCTGGCGAAACTCTGACAAGCGCCACAGGGATATTTACATGCCATTACGCTTAGATTATTGTCAGTGCTCTCTGGGAAGAATTTCTACATACTTTCTATTTTGCCCAGACAAGTGAGAGGGAAGGAGAGGAAGGTTCATCTGGATGACGAGAGTTGCTCATTCTGCAAGTCTCTGACAAGTCCCTGTGGTGCTCGTGCTCCTGCAGGCAGTTTGGTTGTACTCAGCCAGCAAGTCTGTCAACATCAGGAGCAGCTGAATGCATGTGGCCCTGCAAGCTCTTGGTTGCTCAGTAGCTCCTAGCAGCCTCTGGCACACGTGACCAGATGTGCTGGGCTCAGACCACACTTCCTGGCACGCATTCCTCAATGGCCACCTCTGCCAGAGAGCTCTGGCCTTGGTGCAAAGGGCTGATGTGACTACCTAGTGTTCAAGGCTCTTGCTGATTATGAGGCTTGAGTGCCAGTGCCTGGTCTGCTTATGGGGTAATGTAGCCTCTTGCCAGGGGGAGGCAAGACCTGTGTGTTAAAGGTGGGTTATAACAGTGCTCCTGTGGCTCTGTCATGGGCAGTGTGCTGTAAAGAGGGCCGACCTCTCAGACCTAGCTCATGAGGCTGGGAGTTTCGTAGCATTGGGCTTTCCAGAGCTTGAGGGCTCTCTAATGCTCTTGGCCATGTTTCCCTATTCACCCGGTGTTTGGGAAAAATCTGGGTTCCTCCTTTAAAGAAAGGAGTCTCCTGTCTGGATGTGTTGAGGACACACGTTGTAGGCTGTGCTGAAATTAATCACCACCTACAGATTCCTGCCTAGTTCTTTGTTACAGAAGTGACAGCTGCCACCTTGCTACATATAAGAGGCAAACCCTGTGCATATATATGGTGTGGGGGCACCTTACAATGAAGTCCCAACCTCTCCTATCCCCTAGGAGCGGGAAGCTGACACCGTCTCAGGTCGCAAAGAACATCATTGCCGTGCTGGAGGACTGTGACAAATCTACGCCTCCGCTCCGAGCGATAGTGCAGTGGGACCAGGAGCAGATAATGCTGGTAATGCCTGCCTGCCCCAACAGCAGTAGCCTCCATTAGAAGGGGGAGCAGATCTGCTGCAGGTGTAGTCCTCACAGAAGTACGTATGTTTTTCCGCCCCCTTCGGCAGAGGTCTGCAAACAGGTTTGCTTCCTTTCCTCCAAAGACAGCTTTCATTGAGACAATCTATTTTTCTACTCAGTCACTATGTTTGAAACAAAGCTCCTGGGCTTTTGTGGCATCTGTTAGCAGCATAGAGGCCTCTAAGCAATAGTTTTTCATCAGAGACTGGTGGAAAATGAAAGACATTTATAGTTGGGCTTAGCAGCAGCCTAAAAATGGCCATTTGTATTTCTACTCTAAAACTGGTAATGATCTTCAGTTCAACTATTTTTTTTCCTCCCCTCTGTGCAGATGGCTGAGGCCTCCACTACTCGTTACAAGAATAAATGTACCCTATCTCATCTGGATGGGATCCCAGTGTGCCTGAAGGAAGAGTTTAAAGTGGTGGGTTTCCTTTTCTAAGTAGTCGCTTCATGCTGTAGGGCATTCTAGGAGCTTGATTTGTTCCTTCTTGTGAAGGAGCTCAAAGCAGCCCATTTCAGGCAGCTCACAGTAGCTTTTTTGCTCCTGCAAATACAAGGTGGTCAAGCTGTGCAACTCACTGCAGCAAGGTTTTAAGAGCAGCAGCTCAGCAAAAGCCTGAGAAGCTGTTTGCAATAAAGGTAGTACGTAGGTTTGTGACTGGTGGTTCCCAGGTGAAGACAGAGCTTGGCAATGACAGCCATGCTCCATATCTGCTACTAATCTCTTTAGTCTCTAGGGAGTTCAATGTGGGGTAGGGTGGGGAACCATCCCTTACCTGACAAAGTGAATAAATACATCTGTAGCAGTAGCAGGAACTGCATGGATTTCTCAGGCACTAACTCTGCCCCACTGGCTAAACATCTCCCTCCCCTTACTTTCAAGGACATACGTGTCAGAAATATGCAAGTTACTCTCAAAATCCAAGCCATGGGATATTTTGCGTGTGGCCTAGCAACAGTCCTTATTAAGTATTCCTGACAGTGCCATCAAGCTGTCATAGGCTCTGCAGATACCTACCCTTAGGGTGGGAGTCCTCTTTATGCACAGAACTCTTCCACTGTTGTAAACACTGTGGAAAGTGTTTAGCGTATCCTGAAAATGAGCCCACCTGGAATTTTATCACCTGTCTAATCTTAGTGCCTTTGCTTGAAACACTGCAGCTCCTTCCGCAGGCAAGTGGAAAGGAGAATGGCTGTGTGCTGTGGGGCAGAGTATCTGTTCTGCAGCCTGTGGGTGTAACAACTGCCTTGCTCTAGATTGCCCGTGTGTTTCTGCTGCTCTGTATCATGACAGTAGAACGGCTTCTCTGCATGTAGGAAGGATCAAAAGTTGAAGTTCAATGTCCCTCCTAACAGAAACCAATGCGGAATGAGATGAAGAATGAAGCTGCTTGGCTATGTCTTAACTCTGAGGGTTGTGATGTCTGAGATTTGGGGTGGGGGTAAACGGTGAAGCATGTGCATGTGCTTGCCTGCCTGACCAGGGTTTTAGGATGCATGACAAGGTATCTTCTTGCTAAGGTGCCTTACCATCACCGAGTGGGAACAGAGTATCTTGGGACAGAGCCTGAAACAGAAGATGCTACTGTGGCTAAGAAGCTGCGAGAGGCTGGAGCTATCATTATTGGGGTCTCAAACATGCATGAACTAGGGACTGGAACAAGTGGATGCAACCCAAATGGGTAAAAATCCTTTTCCCCTTCCTTCCCCTTCCTCTGCCATCCTTAACCAAACTAAGTTATCCTTAACCAACTAAAAAAGCCAAAAGACCTACCCAGACCTGACAGGGAATGGTGCAAAAATAGGAAAAAGATGTGAAAATAAAACTGACAAAGTGCCCAGTGAAGTGAGGAGCCCTGGGAATATGAAAACCCAGCATTGCAGATTGGAAAGTCAGGACAATTGTAGAAGCCCAAAGGTTCCTGAAACTAAAGGAACAAGAGGATCAAAATGGTGGCTGTTGAATAATGATGTTGCTTTGCCAAGACTTACAGACTTGGAAGCATAAATGTTTACAGGATAAGGGATAGGTGAAAGCTTCAGGGACAGAAAACAAATAAACAGTATTCAGCTTAATCACAGTAACAGAGAAAGGCCCTTAATGATGAGAAGAGGTACAGCTAGCTCAGGAGAGCTTACTGTTTTTATTTCCAAAACAGGTTCCTGTAATGTTTTAGTTCTGTGATTTTTCCAACTATAGCAAGCTGAGGACAGCTCTTCCAGAGCAGTGGTCCTGATGGCCCTGATGAACTGTGTGCATGCATAGACAGAACCAGGACCCCCTCCTCATCTATTGCAGAGTGCCAGGGCATTTCCCCTTGCGTGGGCTCTATCAGGCTATCCTCCTTTCAAGGTGGCAGGCCTCTCTGGTGGATGGGCACTGTGGTTGGACTAGGAAGTTTGAGGTCTCTGCTCTGGAAGGAAAAAGGGCAGAGAAGGGGATGCTCATCTGCTCGTGATACACTAAGAGCTGGTCAGCAAGTTGCCCATCCTTTGGAAATGTGTAATGCTTAACATGGTACAGCACCATCATAAAGAAAAGAGCTGGAATGGCATCCTTTCTCTTCCTTTGCTCTTCCTCAAATAGGCTGCCTATGAGAACAGGAGACTGGACTCAGCTACAGATCCTTTGTGGGACTGATTTTCTAGGGACAGAGAATTTTATGGGATAGAAGTATGTTTTTTTTACTGGGAGAACTGAATCCCTGACTTGTGTTTCTGGATCTTCCCTGCCCTATAATGCATTTGGCCTTTCCTAGAAAAAGATTCCATAATGCTTGTCTGCCTCAGGTACCACAAGATCCCAAGGAATCCCTACAAGCCTAATCACTACACAGGTGGGAGCTCCAGTGGGTCGGCGGCAGCTGTGGCAGCAGGTAAGTGGCCCTAAGTTGAGCTCAGGGGTGGGAAGAGGAAAGGCCTGAGCTTCAGGCATTGGCTTCTTATGAGGGAAGCTGGGGGGAAACTCCTAGGCCAGCAGAGATCTCTCTGCACTGTCTTGGCCACAGCTGGCAGCAGGCTGGAAGGGACAATGTGACACCTCTCTGATCTCAGACCAGTTTTTTTTTTTTTTTTTTTTGGTAGGTCTCTGCCCTGTGGCTATTGGCACAGATGGAGGAGGCTCTGTGAGGATTCCTGCTTCATTCTGTGGCGTGGTAGGGCTGAAAGGTAGTGCCCCTGCAGTCATGACGGGGGGACTTTTGTTTCCTGCATCAGATAGGAGGCCACAAACAAGTGAGGCACCGTGTGTTCATTCCTGTCAGCAAAACCCAGCCACAGAAACTCCAGATACAACACCCTGTGGTATAACATCCTGGGTGGGATTGGCAGAATTTAAATGTTCCTAGTACTGACCACTGAACAGAGATTCAAAAAAGTATTAACTTCTCTGAGTGAGCCAAATGCTCAACAAAACACACGTACTGCTTTTCTTTCTACTCACTTTTCTATCCTCATCTGCGCATCTGCTGGGACATTTTCCCAACTTGGTCAGGTATCCATGGTAAGCTAGTGAAAAGATGCTGTACTAAACATGGATTCCCATCACCTCAATTAGATGGGGAGGTTGAGACTGCTCAGACTCCTATCTGTTACGTTAAACTGGGTAGGAGGCTGGTACCAAACCAGGATGTAGACTTATGTGTCAAGGATGCATGTTTGCAAAGGAGTTTTTCTGACAGGAGGGGGAACATGCCCCGGAAACTCTGCACAGGGCAGAATTGCAGCCTGGAGGATGGAGAGATGGGCAGAATTGCCGGTTGAAAGAGATACTGGATTTTTGGAAAAGTTTTTCACCCTTTAGGATCTTGGCTGCTTCATTTGAGACCTAACACTCAAACCAACACTTTGTTTTTCCATTGTTTACAAGCACTTGACTTGATTCAACTTGACTCGTGACAGGAAGATCATGACACTTACGACACATGTAGCTGGTCAGAAAGAGACAACAAGAACACTCACAGGAGACAACCGGTGTTAGGCATTAAGTCTCACTGGTGAAGCAGTGAGATCTTCAGAAGCAGTGATCTGCACCCAGAGTCCAGCTTCTCCTCCTGTTGATAATTCTGGTTCTGCCTCTTCATCCTTTGCACCATAAGTGCTGCTTCTGTATATCTGAATGCATGCGTTCCATAAATCCCTGTACATGTTTCCTCTTCACTAGATCAGTTCTTATGGGTGGAAATGGTTTCAGTATTTGAAGTTACGAGTCTCGTCTTCACTGATGAGAAAGACAGTCAGGAGAGCTGGGTTTTGAATAATCAGTGTTCAGGCTGGGAAACACCTCACAGAAGTGACTGGCAGCGTGTATTGCTTACTGTCAAATGCTGAGGAACATGACTGGAAGGGCCAGAACCGTCCAGGTGAGACCATGTCAGCAACTGCTTGTTACTGCCTTGCATATCTACCTGTGTGTTTCTTTTTCTCAAGGTACCTTTGGGCGGATCAGTTCTCACGGCTGCCTCCCGCTTTCCTATTCCACCGTCAGTGTGGGTAAGAACCCACACTCCAGGGACCTCACTGTGTGCTGGTGTTGCTGCTCGGGGATGCAATTTGTGCCTACACAAAGCCTTGGAAAGCTGGTCCTGTTTGTCCCTTGCCACACACTGATTTTTCTTTGCCAGGCCCTATCTGTACCTCGGTGGCAGATGCAGCTATTGTGTACAGCGTGCTTGCTGAGCCGGATCCACTCTGCCCGTATGGTAGGTGAAACCTCTCCCTCCGTCAGCCGTAAGATCGGCCTTCCCGGAGGTATCCAAGATCAAGAGAGGAAGTCTTGTTTGTTCCCTGCAGGACTAAAGCAGCCCAAAGCAACCCTGTCAAATATGTGCGCACCGGACCTGAGGGGCTTAAAGCTGGGAGTGGACTGGACGTTTTTTAAGGTACCTGTCCTTTTTCTCTCCTCTAGATGCTTTGCAGGATGGGATTTTGAAGGAATTCAGCATGGTCAGTGCCCCTTGCCTGTCAACTTGAGAGCTCCTCGTATTTAGTTCTCTATTTAGAGAGGAATATGGTTCAGGGGAATTTATTATCCACCGGGATGACTTTCTTTCCTGGGACAGGCCTCTGAGCAAAGGTCAAGGGGAAATATGAGGGAAGCTAATGACTCTATCCAGTTGATGGCGATGTGCTTCCTCATATTAGTACTTGCCTTGGAGGTGATGCTTCTGAACTGCTTCCAACAAGTAATTTGTTTAAAAACAAATGAGGTAAATTAGTTTATCCATTTGGTTACAACACTGTAGCTGCTGCTGCACAGTATTTCATCATTCCAATGTAGAAACTGGACTGACAAGCTAGTACTGCTCGGCAATTGCAATGCAACCCCACAGAGGTGCCCAGGGTTTCCTCCCTGGGCGAGAACGAGGGCTCTTCCTGGCTCTGTCTCGGTGTGGAGGAGGAACATCCTCTCCCCTGGAAAGGGAGACCACTCCTTCTCCGTGCAGTTAGAGCCTCCAAGCTGCCCAAAAGGAGACAGAAACAGGAGTGAAGCCATGTCCTAGGGGGAGGGAGTGCAGCTATGAAAATCTCTTTCTTCTTTCTCTCCAGGCGTGTGATGCAGAAATCCTGTCCATCTGTGAGAAAGGTAAAAAGCAAACGCGTGTCATGTCGCTCCATCTATCCGAGGCCTTCGGATCACTCGGTGCTCCTTTCGGGCACCCATTAAAGAGGTCTGGCTTGAAGTCCTTTATAGGAGATGCTTAAAACTGTCTGGCTGGACACACAGCAGTAGCCTTGTACTAGGGAAATCTTCCTGACTACTGAGGGTTAAAAAGCACGGCAGTTGTAGGCTCGCCTGCTTACAATGGAAGAATGGGCTCTAATGTGCTAAGTCTCTGTCTCTCTATAAAGGCCACTCTGTCTGTGCTTATTAATGCTCACTCTGCAAGCTTCAGTGGTGAAAGACTCTGAGCAGAGGGACTTGTTTGGCAATCCACTGATTAGCAGGAAAGATAGGGCCAGGTCTTTACGATGCATCCAGTCACGTGGTGTTTCCTTGGAATCGGCCAAAGAGGACCATTCGGGTGGCCTTGTCAAATTTTAGACTAAGCAAAACTGAGCTCCCAGTGTGTACTGGGAGAGGAGACAGGCTCCAGAGTCTCTAGCAGAACAGCTGACCACATTGGAACTGAGGTGATTCACAGTACTTGGGCTTTGCTAGCCTGAATTGTCTTTAACTTCCTTATTTTAAGCTCTTATTTCTGTAGACACAGAGTGCTACAGACTCTGCAACATCCTTGCACTCAGAGATCCAAAAGACAGTGTGAGGCTTTAAAGTGCCCAAGAGGTTCCCTGAAAACACAGCTCCTCTCCCAATGGCATGCAGCTTCAAAGACAGATGGTTAGTTATCCTACTTATCCATCAGAAGAATTCAGAGATCTGGCCTTCCTTCCACAGGGGGAAGAGTTTTATTACGAGGGACACACCATATGTCAGTGAAATAGGCAAGCCTGGGAGTTTATAAACAAGTTGGGATCAAAGAATGTTGTTCTTCATACGATGCTAAACACTTGTTTTTCACCAAAGTGCTGATGTTCAGCTTTGCTGAAGTGTGTTAGGATTTGGCAGCCCTGTTCTGCTGACTTGGTCTCTGAGCCCGTCCTAAGATTCTCCTACCACTGTTGTTCAGAATAGGCTTTGAATGCGAATCTCCTGGTGCTAAATAACCGCTTCATGCCCTTACATTACTGGTCATGTCAAGTGCTCCGGGGAGCATTTTCATCCCATCTTTACTGTCTCGGTTATCTGGGAGATGGAGGGAGGAGATAAACTTGCTCAAAATGTAGTGGGTGAGTTATGAGCCTGCCTTTTAGCGCCCAACATGGCTCTGCTGGAGTGCTGGAGCACTGAGATCCAGTTAAGCCTAAAGCTTTTAAGTGTCGGAACAGCAGCCTGCATGCCACACGATGCACTGAAGGCCTAGGGAATTTCTGACTTTGCAGGGGAGTGGGACTTTCCGCCTCCGGTAACATTTGCTGAACTCAAGGGTGCTGCCTGCTCAACCTGTTGTGTCCTCAGCTGTGGAGTTCCTGCGGAGCCAGGGAGCCAGCGTGGTTGAAGTGTTTCTTCCGGAGATGGAGGAGGTGCGAGTGTCTCATGGAATCTCTATCCTCAGTGAGATGAGGGACTTCCTGCAGCCTGACTTCAACAAACATTTCCATCAACTGGTAAGTAGTGGAATCAGGGTTAATGCATATCCAGTGCTTAACACTAGCAAGAAACGTGGGGTTCTTCTGCTTTTCCTATGTCAAAGCAACCGCTGGGGGACTACTCATACAGGAATGTTGACCTAAAAGAGAACTCCAGAAATATCCAGCCCAGTTTCTTGCTCTTAACCACATCTCTAACTGTCATGACCAATGCAAAACTCTTCCTGTCACCATGGAACACTGTCCAAGTGTGCAAAGATGTGAACTGCGGTTGCTAGAACTGTAAGGTGCTTGTTGCAACGTTAATAAGGATGAGAAAGGTCGGGAGAAAAGAGGGAGTTGGTTAGTTTTTCTTACCATGTGCTTGTCTAAAACAAGAAGATATTGTTAACTAGCTAGCTGCAAGCAGAGCCATGACCAAGGATTCCTGTTTCAGAATCTGGAGACTCGGATCAGCCTGGCTGTGGCTTGCCAGTTCACAGCTCTGGACTATATTACGGTGAGGAACATGCTGTGGTGGAGGCTGGCGGGGAGGGTTCACTTAATCTCCTTGGGCATGGGCTGTGGAAATACATTATCTAGCAATCTGGCCTCCTGCTGTGGGGACACGCTAAATGGTGGGGCACCCCAGAGGCCCCACCACTGGGACGGGTTGGTGTATTGCACGTTGAGTCCCAACTACAGGAATGAACCCATCGGTGCAGGCTTTGGGGCTGTCAAAGGTGAGCCCTGTGAACCAGGAGACCCTGTCAATAGGAGTCCCTCTGTTCGCAGGCAAATCGGCAGAGGACCCGGAGCATGGGCTTCTTGCGAGAGATTTTCTCCACTGTGAACTGTATCCTCACCCCAGGTATTAGCCGTTTTAGCCACGGAGCTGCTCCCAAACAGTTGCACGGTGCATTTTAAGAACAGTTACTTCATTAAGTTCCCCTCCCTACTTTTAAGAGCATGACTTCTGTGCAAAGACTTCGCAGTGCCTCAGGCCTGTAGAGGAAAATGGGTTTGGGTTAGGGTGTGTGCTGCACATTTCTAGACCTGTTGCCCATATCCATGGCAATCAGAAAAGTCCTTCTTGGTAGCTGAAATACAACCTGCAGAGCTGGCATGGTTACACAGGGGCGACTGGACATCTGCTTCTTAGACATTAAGATGGTCACATTCCAACTGAAACCCAGCTGTTCAAATACAAAATCTCAATGATTTTTTGCATCACCCATGTGGATCAAACATGGCTTTAAGGAGCTGAGCTGTATCTTGGTGTCTGCCGACTGCCTGTCTCTTCCCTTCCACAGCTACTGCTTCTACTGCCCCAAGAATCCACGACTCCGACCTCGTGACCGGGTTCAGCGATTTCTCGCTCACAGTGCGGGCCATGAGGTGAGGAGAGAGCTGCTTACGCTGTAGAACCAAGCTGGGGAGTAGCTGGGGACGAGCTGCACTAGCCAAAGGAGCTCAGGCTGGAGAGCAGGACAGCTCCAGCTTAGCTGCCTCCCGCAGAAAGGCTGAGACTGTTGCTGTCCCAAGGCTGGACTGCTGATGGCAGCTTCTCCCCCAGGTTCATGCAGCTTGGCAACTTCACGGGCATTCCAGGGCTGGTGGTTCCTGTTGGATATTCTGCTGCTGGGCTTCCTATCAACCTCCAGGTAAGACAGTCCCTCTGAACTGAAGCCACTGTAACCAGGTTCTGCTATTCCATGCAGCACCGTTGAGGAATGTAGAGGGAATGGTAATGAAGGTTTAGCTTCTGAGCGAAGACTTGCTTAGAAGGCAATTCTGTGGCATCTAGGAGTTGGATTTCTCTTATCTTCCAGTTTACCTGTATTACTAACCACCTGGCTGCCCCTATCATCTGTCACTACTCTTCCCTCTTTCCTAATTTTCAGTTACGTAATTTCTCTGAGCCCTCCCTTGTTCTTCTCCTTTTGAAATGGTGTCATGTAAATGAAAGTGTGTTTTTCAGCTGTCAGAGCTGCCTTTATCCAAAATGCAGTGCTGTCCCACTTACTGGGGTAAGAGGGAAAAGCCTGGGCACTTCTGATGCTGCTACAAGTTATTTTAGCCATAATCTGCAGGGCTTTCAGGAGGGCCTTCCCTTCCTGCCATTTCTTTCCCTCTCTCTCCTAGGTCATGACAAAATGGTGGGATGAAGCTACGCTGCTCAGGGTTGGCCTGAAGCTGGAGCAGTTTCGTCACCAGACCAAAAAACCCTCCGTTTATTATGACATCCTTGCATGATGGGTGGCCAATATCAGCAATATTCTAACTTGTTGTTCCTAGTCTGACCTGTAAGTGTAAGAGTGGACTTATTTTCAGTGATTACCTCAATAAGTTTAGCAGCCCCACGAGAAGAAAGGGGAGGAAGACTGATTTAAGCAGGCATTGATGTGAGCAGAGTTCTGCTCCCTTTTGGGTAGGGGATATTCCAGGTTATACTGGGGAGACCACTTGTGCTAGCTCATTCCTTTTTTTCTGCCAGCTGGGGAAGCTGCAACCATTTTCTGCAACCGCTTTTCCTGGATGGCTCTTATGTGTAAGACGGAAGGCAGGTGGATTGTGCTCAGGCAGCTTTACATGGAAAAGCCACAATCCCGAGTCCTTAAACCTTCTCAAAGGACCTTCTCCCCTGCCCTAGGATGTAACAAAGCGACTCCTGCAGGAGAAAGGCAGCTTCCCCTATAGACACATTCCCAGGGCTTTAGCACCTCATTCCCTTGGAATGAAGAGGATCTCAGCAGGCTTGCCAGAAGGAGTTAACACTCAGAGCCTTCTCCTGTTACCCTCCTTATCAGATATCCGAGAAGGGAAACTGCTGGCCTTGTGATGAGGCTGCTGGAGGAGCTGTCAGCAACAGAAAAGCGCACTGCATTCTTACATAGCTTGGACGGAGAGGAGGAACAGAGGGAGGGAGTGCAGTTTCTCCCAAAGCTTAGCTTGTCTGTTGCTTTCTCAGTTTGTTTTAAGTCACCTTTAAAGAGAGCTTGCACCTTACTGATGGCTAAAGTTGGCAGGCAGATAGCATCTGAATGGAAAAACCCCAAACACGACCTACTTTTCCCTTAATTACTTACGTCAAAACCTCAACAGCTAGCAGCAGCTGTTAGCAGCATCCATAGCTGAAGTAATGAAACTTGATAATGTCTTTTGTCTTCAGTTCCCCTGTATGATACTACCAGCACTATCATTCACGAGATACTAGTATAGTTCAATTCTATGAAGAGCAGATTTTAAGAGCACAATATTTCCCCTAATATTACCAATAACTTATTGAACACTTCTAAAATACCTTAGTATTAATATGCCTGCAAGATGGAACACTGGTAAAGTGCATCGTATGGAAATAGCAAGCATTGACCAGCACTTGACAAGAATAAATTTCTCCAAGAAACATTGCTGCTTGCAGAAAATACCGGAGGAATATTTGCCGATTTAATCCTGTAGGGGTTAGAAAGGGCAGTATGAAACAGTCACCGTCTACAAAAGGAAACTATTTCAAACTTCCTCTTTCCTAAATGAAACACTAATTTAATCTGTAATTTTTATCCATAATTCTACATAATTCTGTGGGTGGAATGAGGGAGCTCAGGTTTGTACAATGGCTAGGACCTAAAGTAAATGGTTTGCTTTAAAAAAGAACAAATGAGTACTTGCCTCTTGCTAAGGCTGGGAAGAAAAGGGCAGAGGGAGCAGGTGCTGAGAGTAAGTCAGCCCGGCTCCCAGCACGCTGCTTCCTCCCGGGAAGCTGGCAGCCCAGCCCTTCTCATGAGCTCCAGCGCCCAACTGCCCTGGTGTTGGGGTTTCCTTGGCAAGCTGCGGGCACTGCTGAAAGGCCCCGGTGCTTCCCGCTTCCCCTCCGTGTTGGCTCCTCCACAGCTCCCCCAGAGACCCGTTCCTGGCAGCAACAGCAGCCCCACCGTCACCGCCCACAGCAGCGGGGCAGTTGTGTGAGCGAAGCAGACACAGTGACCACACGCACAATCCTGTTGCTTCACATAGATATATGTATGGGTATAGATATACGGTATATACACACTGATTTTTTTTATGTATATATATATATATATATAAAATAACACCTTGTTTATAAAGCGACATTTAATTGCCACTGGTTCCCTTCCCACCCCGCAAAAACAATAGTATACAAAATATAAAATATTTTAAATATTTATAAACGCCGCAAGAAAAAAATAGAACTGTACGAAAATATTTTTTTCTGAGGTTCTCTCCCTGGCCTGTGGGAAGGGAAAGGAAAGGGGTACACGCTTGGCCGGCCTAGTGTGCCTTGAGTCCATAGTTGTTAAGGGGGTAGGAATATGCCCTGCCTAATACTATCCGGTCCCGGAGGAGCTTAAATAAGACGTAGTAGTTGCAGAAGAGGATGAGGGCCATGGAGAGCGTGTGGTTCCACTTCTCGGAGCGCAGCAGCGAGTAGAGCTGGTAGCAGACCACACTGCCCTCGATGAGGATCAGCAGGTTGAGCAGCCGTAACGGACGGTGGAAAAGGAACTGCAGGGGAACAATTAAAAAGGAGGGAAGAGGACGGACGTCAGTGGCACCGCTCTGGTTTGCCGCGGCACTAAGGCAGGAAGCGGAGACTGGGCCTGCATAATGCTTCCTGGCTCTGCGGAGCTGGGGAGCACAGTGCTGCGGGGAAGAAAAGCTCTTGGATCCTGCCCCCCACTAGCTGCTCCTTAGAGGATGAAGTGTAAAAAACGTCACATGCACAACTGTGATTTTCCTTGAGGAGGACTCACAGAACAACCCAATGGCCGGCACACGTGTCTTTCAGTTGCTCTGGAAGAGGTTCTGTTATTAACTAGGATATTCTTAGGAAGAGCCTGCTGTCTGATGAGGGAGCGGCATCACTATGGTCGGAAAGCACCGGCTTTTGCCGTGCCCGGGTGTCACCCTCCTGCTGCAGTGGGGAATTCCCTCTGCCACGAGCACATACTTGGTTTGGCCGGAAAGCCCATGCCACCCGGCGCACACAACTCTGCCCCGTGCAGCCCACGTGGGGGACGGGCACCGGGGAACAAGGCTCGGCTGACACCACAAATGGGTTTGATGCAGCCAACTCGTGGTGGGAAAGGGACTCTCCAGCTTCCTGAACTAGAAACAACTCTTAGCAAGGCACTGCTGCTGGAATGGTGAAAGTCTCCGGGGTTTTACACTCTTCCCTGGCGCACCCCAAGAGCTGACTGAGCTCTCCAGCTCTCTCCAGAGCTGCCTCAGTTCTCAAGAACCACATAACTGAGTGCCAAGAACGTGTCAGCCATCACCACTGATGACTCGTGAGGCTGCTGCAGGCCCCACACCTCCGGGGGAATGAAAACACATCTGCAAACCTGCATGGCATAGAGTACAGACTCTAAAAAATAGCTACTTGACCGGGGAGAGATGGAGAAAACTAGGACCTTTTGGACAGATGCTCCAAGCTGCTGTCTAATTTTTACTCTTTGCTGATGTGCATTTGTTTCAGGAACACACTGAGAAATGAGAAAGGGTGCTGTTACGAGCACACCATGGTAGGGCCAGTAAGTGTCTCCCACTGCCAGGAGACACAACCCACAACAAAGGATGCTGGGGTGATCTCTGCAGGACAAGATTTTAGGACTACTGCAGTTATGGCAGGAGTGGCTTTTTTTTTTTTTTTTTAACTTGCTACTCAGTTAATTTGAGTAGGATACTTCTGTTGGATAAAGACAGGATCCCCTAGAGCGTCCCTAAAGTCAGACCCTAAAAGGTGATGGGGAGCATAAAAGCAGGAAGGTAGGACTATTGTGCTAACATTGTCCTTCGCTGAAGGAAACATCTAACCCAGTTGCTCCGTTTCAGCACCATGTGCCCTGGTTTGAGTCCCTCCTCCCTCCCACAAGCCCAGGCCAGGGCCACAGGGGAGATACTTGCGTAGAAGCGGGCGTGCGAGGCGTCGGAAGGCACTGCTACGTTGTAAGGCCCCACCGCCTTGTACAGGCATCGGCTGCGCCGCACCAGGACTCCCTGCGGCCAGATGGTGTTTTCTGACCAGCTGCAGGGAAAGAAGGCCCTGGAGTTAGCACCGAAGGGAAACCCAGGGAGAGCAGGTCCCCAGCCCACACAACTGACCACATCTTGAAAAATAACAAAGCCTCTGTTGTTAACTGCGCCCTGTGCTCTAGGTGTCCCTGCTTGAGCGGGGGGATTGGACTAGATGATCTCTAAGAGTCCTTTCTAATCTCAACCATTTCCGTGAGGAAATATCCCGGGTCCACTGGAAAACCACAGCGAGAGGAGGAGATCATGAGCTCATCAGAAGGTCTCCGAGAGCCAGCAGTGTGAAGAAACGGCTCCCAGGACAAGGGCCTTTCACTGCCCTAGGCTGCTCCTTCCACACTACGCAAGCTGCTGCCCCAGCAGCTGAGAGGAACCTGAGCGTTTATCGCTCAGAGGGAACAAGCTGGACTGCAGGAGTTCAACAGCTCTAGGGCAAATGTTGGTTTCTAGGGAAGAGAAAGACCAGCAGAGTGGTACCCGTGACCCCAGCACTGTGGAGAATGGAAAAGCTTCCCCGCGAGGTAGCACTGCTGCTCTCTGCCTAACTACTGCATGGTCTTAGCAGCCCCGTGGCATCCCCACACTCACATGTGCTGTGGAGCATTGCTGTAGGAACCGTGCTCGAGCTTCTGCCACTTGCCCAGGTGGGCAGCTGATCTGTGGAGCAGGTCGCAGTACTTGGGGGGCAGCAGCTGCGTGGTGAGCATGACAAAGGCGTTGATCCACACCATGATGAGGTGCTCGCAAGACCAGCGCATGTCGTAGTACTGGGTGCTCTGCAAAGAGAGCACACAAGAATTCAGCACCACGGAGCTGTCACGGAGCAGAGAAGGGATGACAGGAGGACACATCTTGCATGTGCATCCAGCAGGCCCACACCACACGTCACAGGCATGCGCTTTGGGGCCGATGATTTTGCAGGGTTACAGCTCGGGAAACACCGGGTATTCCCTTCTCCTTGACCTGAAGGAGAAAAGGAAGGGGGCTGATGCTGCAGCTGCTGCATCTGCTCCCCCGGCAGCAGGTAATGGGAGGGTTCACGTGCCACAGGACTGCCCCGGGAGAACCAGTTGCACCAGGATGGCTCCATGGACTGTGGGGCCCTGCCTATTGCATTAGACCAACTGGGCTGGCTGCGCGAGTCCCAAACTTCCTTGTTAATGAATGCTGAGCTGGTTCAAGTTAGGGAAACATGGATAAAAATATACAACTGGCAAGTGGTTCTCAGATTTAGGTTCCCCACAACATCGTAGTTGGCTCTGTTTTCTAACAAGCTGACACCAAAGCCTCTGATCCAAGCACTCGAGAACCAGGACATTGGATCCGAGACAGGAATGGGTACCCTTGTTCAGGAACACAGCTCTCCATCTATCTAGGACAGGGAGTGGGAGAAGGAGAGTTAGTAAGTAGGGTGATGGGACTAGAGGTGCATCACATTTATGGCAATACCTATCCGCCAACCAGGAGCAGTACTAGTGCCCTCCGGATGCAGCCATGCTCCGCTATCCGGGCTGCCAAAGGGGAGACAGAGAAAAGGGGAATTAACCAGGAATCCGGCCTGGCAGAAATTCGCACGACATTCAGAAGGAGACAGTGGGCAGGGGCACAGAGAGCACCAGACAAGAGCTACCTTCACGAAACACAGTGGCAGGAAGGCCACATAGTAGGCACTGAAGAGGGAGTTGAAGAGAACTTCCTTGATCCTGTGGTTGAAGTCTGCTTTTAGGCACTCCACCTCATTACGGATGAGATCTGGGGAGAGGGGACAGCTGTGGGTGGGGATAGATGTGGGATTATTGAACTGTTCTCTCACGGAGTCCCACAGGAGAGAGAGGAAATCTTTGGGTTTGACGAGGCTGCTGACACCTGAAGCCCCATCGTCCACCATCTGATCTTGTACCAAGTAACCACAGTCTGCAGGTAGGGGCTGTGCTCTGCTGTCCTGGTGGAAGCAGCACAGAGGAACGTACACACCAAACCTGAAGGAAGAGAAGGAAGAAAGGAACGTGGGCTGAAATGACAGGCATCCCAACACAAACAGTGCCTCTTCTGGCCCATAACATAGGGGTAACTCGGAGAACCCTCATCCAAGAGGCTAGTGGCCGACTCTTGTTCTTCCTAGAGACTACAGCAGCCTTGACAACTGTGCAGAAAAGCTTCTTTACACCTCCTGTTTATGGAAACCAGTGAGCTCAGTGGCTCAGACTTGGCAGTAAGGGTCCCCCATGCAACTCGCACGCTGCATGCGATTTGCTTCATAAGCTCGGGGCTCTTATTCCTCTCTCATTCCTAATTCTCCTCAATTTGTTAGGTCAGAAAAGGTGTTTCGTTTGCCTAGCTTCTGGGGGCACATCACAGCCCTACTTCCCCCACTGTTCCCTGTGCAGCTT